TCATAAAACTTTGATTAGCCAGAACTTAACTAGAACGCTTAATTTAAAAGAATTTCTTTTGATACATGTTCTAGTTATCAATTTATTTCTTTTCAGCTCCAAATCCACCCTTCATTGCCCTGCTTTGTGATGCTATAGCTGGACCCTGTCAAAATTTCTCCTTTGCAGCTACCATGATGCTTTGTCAGTAAAGAGTGCTGGAGGGCCACTGCAGGAGGAAAGGGTATCTTTATTCTGATGTGGTTTTCCTGTTCCTGTGGTGCATGACAGCCAGCGGGTGCTGGAATCCCAACCACACTCAACCACCTAGTGAGTCTCACAGGTATCCCAGTAGGTGATTTTGTTTTGCAACTCCAACTTGCAGCACCTGAGTGAATTTCTCTATCCTTCAATGGGTGACAGCTATACCCTCTCCAGTGAGGTCAGAATCTCAGCTTTGAGGGGAAAAGGGCATTTCCAAATTTGTTCCTTCCTTGGCTACTCAGCCTTACCACCTAGGGCAAGCATTCTTAGTAGGGGTGAAAATTGGTCCTTGGGGAGGTGAAATAATCTTAGGTATTACAATGGTTTGTAGTCCTCCAGAGGGCCACAGTACATAAACAGATATACAGTGTATCTGTAGCATTAAAATTTCATGGAAGGGAGGCAATAGGGGAAAAAATGTAGAAAAATTCTCCTTAGGAGACCAATAATAAAAAAAAAAAAAGTTGAGTAACACTGCCCTTTAAGTAGTAGCTGCTCCCCACATCCACTATTCCTGTATTCTTTAGAGTTCTCTTTATTCCTTATTAGTTAATCTCAATTTTAGCTAATATACTTTATATTAAACTTTCCCTGTTCAAATTACTATGTGGTTTCTGTCTTCTGACTGGATCTTGACTGATACAATGCACTTGACTTCTTTGAAAGAAAGGCAAATAATAATTGAAAATATACTAACATCAGAGGCTGAGTTAAAAAAAAAATTCCAGGACATTTCCTAGAACCTGTAGAGATCAATCTCCAGCTACTTAACATCTTGAACAGTGGGGATATACGTTCAGGATGATGATCTTGGGACCATGACAGATGCTGAATGACCAAAGACAGGTTGTTAGCCTAAACTTAGTAAAGCAAAAGATTGGTAAAAATTGGGGTTGAAACAATGCAGGTTTTCTGGATAGCCTTAAACTAGTCAATGCATACTATAGATACTGAACACATTTCTCATTTACAGCTATTTTAAGTGCCAAACTTTGAGATAATAATGATGATTATAATGATAATAATAATTAACATTTTTGGGGCACTTAACTATGTGCCAGCACTGTTCCAAGCTCTGTCATTCTGACAAGAAGGCTGAGAATGGATAGGAAAAAGCCAGGAGTACAAGCAAGGAGGCCAGTTTGGAGACTACTGCAGAAGTCCAGGCATAAGATGATGGTGGCTTGGACTAGGGTGATAGAAGGGAGATAGAGGGCATGCTGTTGACTTACTGATACCCAGATCAGAAAGGGCTCTCCAGCCTCTCTAGCCACCAAACAATCGGAACAATCATTCGATTCACTACCAGAGAAACAGGACTAGAGATAGAAATAGAATTTTTTATTTATTTGTTAAGTTCCTACTATGTGGCCAGTACTGTGTTACCCAATGTTAGGGGTACTCGATAATAATAACCACACATTTTTTTAGTACCTTATGACCTCTTATAAGGCTATAAAATGATAACGCTAATAGAAGAACATGTAGAATATATTTGAGACTTTGAGATGGGGAAGAACTTTGTAAATCAGACCCAAAAAGCATGACAAAATTTTGACAGATTTGACCACACCAAAATTAAGGATTTCTATTCAATGAAGGTAATCATAGACTAACTTATGCAGACAGAGGACAGAGTGAATTAAAATATTTAGAAGATATTTCAAATCAACAAAGAATTAAAACCTAGCGTATATAAGGAGCTCCAGCAAATCAAATAAAGCACCCAATAGAAACTGTTAAAGAAAAAAATATTCAATATTACTTGTTAAAGATAGTAAGGCAGACTTTATTCAGGACCATCACAATAGGTATAGGGACCACCGCAATGGGATTTTTACAATAGCGGAGATTGGGATCAACTCCAAATACAGCATGAGCAAGTGGGGATTTATGGCCAAGGAGGAGGGTAGGGGTCAGTGGATGGAAAATTACTAAGAGGAACCATCAGGCGTAAGAAGGATTCTTGCTAAACCGACCTAACAGGATTCTTGCTGAAGTTAGGCCAGGGTGATCAAACATCACCTGAGGGATGGTGGAGGATGAAGAACCTGATCAGATATTGAGGGTGCGGGGTTCTGGTTAAACTGACTTAGCAGGGTTCTTGCTAAAACTGGATTTTACGAGGAAGTGCACAGATGGGCCTAGGAGAAGATTCAGGAGCCTAACTAAAGTTTGGTCAAGCAAAGAATCTTTCTCAAAACATTGACAAAAAGTATGAATAGCCAGTTCTCAGAAGTGGAAACCCAAACGACTAAGAAGGGTTGAAGAGAAGTTCAGTGTTACTAGTAAACAGAGAAACGCATATTAAGACTATTTGAGATAGCGCCTTACACCTAATAGATTTGTAAAACTTAGAAAGTTGGACAATGATTTGGCAGCCCTGGCAAAGATGTAGGGAAACAAGAACTCTCACGTGTTGCTGGTATGACTGTAATTAGATACCTGTATTCTAGAGAGCACTTTGGCAGTATTTAATTACGTGTGTGTATGTGTGTGTGCATGCACACACATATGCAGGCGATGACTCAGGAATCCCTCTCCATGTAGTCACCTAAGGAGACATGTATGAAGATGTTTATGACAGGGTTGTTTGTGGTATAACAGAGTGAGAGGCAGTCGGGTATCCATCACTAGAGCAATGGAAGTGTTAAAAGTATCAGATGCATAATATGGAACCTTAGGCAGCAGTTCAAAGAAATCATTTAATATGTATAGAGGAACATAGAAAGAACTTAAAAACAGCACTGTGTAAAAAAGCAAGAAGCAGAATAAGAACCATTGAACAATACAGAATTAAAACACATACATTCGTAAAACATTATATGAAAAACTCGGGGATACGTGCATATCCAAGCACATAGTAAATAAATATATTAGAGTGGCTGCCGATGCTGGAGATGAAAGGGGAAAACAAGAAAATAAAACAAGAAAATAATAAAGTAAAATAAAACAAGAAAAGGCCTCACATGGATGATCACATGCCAGATTTTTCACATGCTAGGTTTGAGACGCCTGTTAGATATCTATGTGGATATACCAAGTAGGCAGCTAGATGTCAATCTGGAGTTTAGGAAAAAGGTCAGGGCTAGAGATATAATTGTGGGATATATCGGTGTATAAATGGCACTTAGCACCAAGGAACTTTATGGGCTGAACCAGAGAGAGAATGTATAGGGGAAGAAAAGAGACCTAGAGGCACTCAACCCTTAGATGTCAACCAGAGGAGGAGGCACCAGTAAAGAGACTGTGACAAAGTGTCCAGGGAGGAAAACCAGGAGGAGGTAGTCACTAAAAGCGACCAAGGTGGGTGAAGTGAGGTGGGTGATTAACTCAAGTCTTTGCACTTAAAGTCCAAAAGAAAAAAGAAGATCTAAATCCTGTCTTCCTTGAAGTGTTTTCATTCCACAAATGAGATGCAATGCCTGGTTTTTGAGAGAATCCATGTAAACAGCTGTATGAGTAGCTCATCCATCTAGCCAGTCCTTCCAGGTCTCTGGAGACACTTGAGCAAAGCACATATCCATGAAAAGCCAGAGGGTGGGAATAAAATAGAGTGGAGCACACACTTGCAAACTGAACTCTATAAACCAAAGCCTAAATGCAGCCTTATTTATGAAACTAGAAGTGCTGTGTGAAACCAAGAATGAACATGTCGCGGTGTCAGATCAGTGACTCTAGCTTGGTTATTTCCATCAAGCAAAAAGAAAAATTATTTGAAATATTATCTAACTATGAAAAGCAGAATACGGGAGACAAATAGGTAGCTCCAAGTCATCTGCAAAGACAATTTAGTTGGCAAAGGTGGATTTGCATCATCAGGCAAAAAAAAAAAATGCGTATACCTATGTGTGTGTGTATATAAATTTTTTTAAAAAGTGAACTGATCTCAGGTTTCTGTTTGCTTCAAATTGCCTTCAATCAAACAGGACACACAAAGGAGCCTGGTATGATTCCAGGACTCTTCCTTTTTAAGCCTGCCAGGTTTGTCCTCTTACAGGGAATGAGAGAGAACAAGGCTGAATATTTCTCTCTGTTTCTGAGAAGGGCTTGTCTCACCCGAGTCCTTGCAGGGCGAGACACCACCTGTGGAATGAATCTGTTGCCCTTTTTCAGTTCATTCTTTCTCATCTCCAACTGCCTGCCTAGAGAGATGATTGCTGGGAATTCACGTGTCTTTTGTTTTTCCTTAGCTTTAAGACTCTAGCCAACTCACTTAAATTACACTCTAAAGTTAGCAGGCACTGCTTTTAAATGGAAGCCTGAGAGGTGGGGATGTGAGGGAATGAGGGGTGAATTCTTGGTTCTTTGGTACTACATTATCACTTGATCCCTCCTCTGAGTTGTTATCTTTTGTACTTAAAAATACCTTTATTTGGCCATTAAAGTGAGTGATCCTGTAAACTGCATTCAATCAGGATACTTCGATATTTGAAAACATTTTTGGCTACCAATTCATTTGGTTCTCATTTCATAGTGGACTTGCCTATAGCTTTAACTAAAGGGATCTTTTCAAACTTCAGTGTAGATGTTTGTCTAGATAAGTATTGTCAGTATAGGTGTTGTCAAGAAATCCTTTAGCAGCACACCAAATTTAATTAAAGAAAATTAACTTTAAAATGTATATAAACTTAAAAGAATATAATTTTTTAAAATATATAAAGACATACTACTAAAGTAAAAATATCACAAAGACATAAATTTTATAGGAGAAAAGAACCTTAGCAATTACTGAACCAGTTCTCAATCTCTTCGTGTTTTTTCTGACTCCATTGCAACATACTCAGTAACAGCTCTCCTACATAGTGAGACTCACCTGGGAAAGACAAACACCTATACTGAAGTTTGAAAAGATCCCTTTTCTCTTGCCCCAGACCAAGTTTCTTACTTTTTAGAGAACATTTGGTGCTAAGTGATGATAAAATTAATAGTGTGATTCACAGACTCTCTGTTGTATTGGCTAGACTGTGCTTCAACTTGAAGTGGATGACATAAGGCAGCAGTCTATAGGGCCATGGACACAAAACAACTGAGTCCTCATCTGCAGAGAAGCAGTGAGTACCTGCACATTGTTTAGTGCCCTGTTTAACCTTATAATTAAATTCTACACTTCCTTTGCTATTGATTAAAGTATATAGTACTCAATTAAAAGTTTTTATTGGCTATTAGATTTAAAATGTGATGTATTATCAAAAGCCTAAAATATAATCAATTAACAATTTTTATGAAGCAGCATCTGGCTTTGATTTCTAAAATTTTATCACATATATTCATGTAAAAGTTACAAATACAGCTGAACATAAAGAGAAAACAATTTTTCATAATCTCAACACCTAGAGAAAACAGCATTTTCCAATGTATACTTCTAGTCTTAAACAAGAATATTTTACTTCAAAATTTTCACCCAAATAGACTTGTTTCTACAAAGGTGAGCTTCTGAGAAACCAACTTCCTTTGTGCAAACAGCAGATTCTGCTTTGCAGGGAAGGAAGTGGCTCACATCCTGGCTAACAGGGGATCATTGTTACTCTCTCGGAATTGGCATAAAGCCTTCTTCAGCCAGAAAGACAATTATGTGACAGAGAATTCCAGAGTTGGGCCTGTCTTAGGAGAAAGGGGCTTAAAAGCAAATTTTACTCACATACAGAGTGTGCTAGTCAATTTCCATGTCTTCTCCCTAATTATTACAACCCAGAAAATTGTGTGTTTGAATCCAAGCTGTTCCTTACAAGCCAGGTAACGATGGATAAATTGCTAACTCTCACTCTGTCACAGTTTCCTCATCTGTTAAATAGGGACAATAATGCTACTGATCTTACTGGGTTCTTGCAAAGACCAATGAGTTATTACAACAGAGCCCTTAGCGCCCGGCCTGCAGTAAGGTTTCAACAAATGTCAGCAACATTATTGTTATAGTCATGGACTGCCATGAGGATTATATGAAATACTCTATTTGAACTCCTTCCACACTTAGGTATTATTATTACAATACCTAGTATTACAGGGAGGGTTTGTTCTTCACCACCCCCCTTTTCACTTGGCATGGCTCCCTGGTTTTTCCCTCTAGACCAGTGCTATTCAGTAGAATTTTCCATGATCATAAAAATAATGAATAATCTGTGCTGTCCAATATGGTAGCCACTAGCCAAATGTGGCTACTGAGCTCTTGAAATGTGGCTAGTGCAACTGAGGAACTGAATTTTTAGTTTTAATTGTATTTACTTTTAATTAATTTAAATAGTCAAAGTTAGTCCCTTGATTTGTCTGCTCCTACCCGTCTCATCACCCAATTGCCTTTAGGCTCAAAGCAAATTGATCTGTAGGGACTTTAGTAAATGTCTCCTCATTCACACTCAAGTTTTGAATAATATTGTTTTTTACATAGTACCTTCTAGATAAAATATAATCCTACCATTAAGAAAGTAGAAACAAACTGGATATATTTCCTATGTCAGGCTTCTCTGCCCAGTCTGGCTTTCCACTAAGAATTTTGCAAACTTGAATGAGAAGAACTTAATGACCTTTTCAAAACATTTAGCCGATTAGTTTAAAAGGCTGCTTTACAGGTCTAGAACGAAAAGGGGGCACTTCTGCTATCAAATGCCCTCCCTTACAGTATACAGCGGGGGATTCCCGATCTGCTCCAATTCTGTGTCTTTGGGTCAGTTTTGTACCTCTCTGTAAACTCTTGCTCAGAGCCCCCTTCTGAGCTTCAGGCTGATGCGTTCACCCACAACACCTGTTAGTGTTGAGTCTGAACTTGACCAGGTTCCCTGAAGGAAGCCACTCAGTAACTCAGAGCCAGTGGCTACAGGGCTGGGTCCTGGAAGTGAGCCCACACCCTCTTTTCCAGGTTCTAGGATCCCTGCTCTTCTTCCCTCTGTTAGACAGCCAATCTTAACTTCAGGTCCTAGATAAATCACCTAACACTTTTATCAAAGAAAAGCTATAAAACCAAAAACAATTTTGCATTAGGTAAGATTGGCTCTTCCTTCTCTCCCGGGGAAAGGCTGCCACCTGCTGTAAAACATTAGCATTGGGCTTTTCCAAGGTCACTGAGCAAAAACTTCCTGCATACAAAATTAATGTACGCACAACCTCACCTGACTTCACATCTGTGCGTCAGGAGTGTAAAGAGGAGGGCAAACCAGGAGGCATTTCTCTTAATTTTTTGATGTAGGGCAGAAAAACAAACTCAACCATATGAATGATGCCCAGAAGGAATTGGCATCACCCTAATTCTAAATATAAGAGCATCCTTTCTTCACCACTCACTGTTTCTTCACCACTTCACCACAGTGCTGTTTTTCAAATTAGCTCATAGTAACCATCATAAAACCTCTGCTATTAAAAGGCTTATTAATTCCTTGATCCTTCTATGTAGTTCTGTGTCTCTTTATCTATTCTTCACAGCCCCGGCAAGTCTTTGGTAGGTGAAAGGATGAGAGGAGAATAAAAATTAACAGTTTTCAGGCCAGCACCCCTGAGCCTTGCACTCTGACTTTCTGCAAAACTCCCAAACTCCTTCCCCCACTTCTCCACTCCCCACTCCCACCCTGACGCCACTCATCACCCACCAGCTGTTGTAGTGTACCTACACACACACACGCAACTTTTAGAAGTAAGTTTTGCTCTCCATTATGTTCCCAGCAAAAAGTCTCAACACTCCCACCTCCTCTGCCTAAATTATGCCTTTATATCTGGAAACTTATCAAACTTAAAGAATTACTTAGGAATTCCAACATTGAGTAAACTCAAATATAAACAAGCTGACATTTACAACTAAAAAAAATCCAATATCTAAAATGTTTGCAATATAAGGAAAATAGAACCAAGAACCAATAACTTCTAAACAAAAATAGCTGCAAGAAGCATACTTGACTGCCTGGATTTAGCTTTGTATAGTCCATGGTGTTGACACAGCTGAGACAGATGTAAAACATCTGCATAATATTTGCCAACCTCTTCCAGAAACTGTTATTTTTCTCACTGTAAATCATTGGAGCGCTCTAAATTACCACCCCAACATCTCCTGCCTGCATTTACAGGCAGGAAAAAGCAGGCTATGGAGGAAGGAAAGGACAGAAATGTTTTCGTTGATGTAAGAGAAAGCTTAAAAAAATTGCATCAATAGCCAAAGAAATGAACCCTTACAGTATCTGATGCTGCCACACATTTGTGTGTGTATGGTTTTTCAAATACATTTTTTAAGGCAACATTTTATTTACTGTAATATTATAACAATACTAAATGTTTTAAATTCTACCTCCCTAGCTTTTATTTCATTTTTCTGCTTCTACAGTTTTTTTATCTGTATTGCTTTCACACACAGGTTTGTAATCTACAAAGCATTTTTAATGTCTTGAACTATTCCACTGAGTTGTTATATCAAAATTTACATAATTATTCCCCAGTTGTTGGAGATTTAGTTTCTAAGCTTTTCAATTTAGTTAATACTGAAATAAGTATCATTATGTAAAATGCTTTTTTCCTTTTTCTAAGTTAATTCATCATCCATTAGAGTGAGGGGCATGTAGTAAATGCTTAGCAAATATTTGTTGTATAAGTAAATTATTTATAATAAATTATCAGGAATGAGAATATAGAGTCAGATATTGAAACAATTCTGGTGTAGGGGCCAGCCCAGTGGTGTAGTGGTTAAGTTTGTGCTCTCCGCTTTGGCAGCTCGGGGTTCGGGGGTTCAGATCCTGGGCGCGGACCTACACACTGCTCATCAAGCCATGCTGTGGCAGCATCCCATATACAAAATAGAGGAAGATGGGAGTCGACGTTAGCTCAGAGCGAAGCTTCCTCGGCAAAAAGAGGAAGACTGGCAGTGGATGTTAGCCCAGGGCTGATCTTCCTCACCAAAAAAACAAAAAAGACAATTCTGGTGGAAACAAACTTAATGTCTATTGATATAGATTACTAAATACCTTTCCAAAAGAATTTTACTTATTTGCAATGTGATCAGATAAGTTGTTCAGCACATCATTTCCATTGATATATCTTTTTAAATCTTGTTAATAAGAAGAGCTCAAGTCGTGACAATGATACTGCTGAAATAAAAGACGTGGAGAGTCTGAATCAATATGCAGAGTGTGGGTCACATTTTTAATTGTTTTTAAAGTCTATACTTTAGTTTAATTTTTCACTTAAGTCCCCGTTCTAACTTGCAGGGAAGAATATGTAATGGGATCAGTTAACCTCCCAGGTTTGAACATCTTAGGCAATTTGGATTTATTGGCTTTAACCCAAAGGGCTACAGTGGGACAGAAGTTGTTATAAGGTGAAGTGTGGGCTGGAGAGGAAGGACAAGAGGCCGTACAACTTGACTACTCAGACCGTGGTCCCCAAACCAGCTGCATCACCTGAGATGTTAGAAACGCCATCACTTGTTAGAAATGCAGAAGCCCAGGCCTACTGAATCTGTATCTGCATTTTAACAAGTTCCAGGTGACTGTTATGCACATTAAGTTGGAGAAGCAGTGCTCTTGACAGTGAAAATTGCTCTGCCAGTTGTCTATGGGCTTTAGCAGAAAAGAGAGCCCACTGTGAATAATAAGAACGTGAATCTAAAGACAGCAAAGAGCCTTCTGTAATTTTAATTTGGGTGGTTCTTTGAAAACATTCTTGACAGTATAGACTGGCTTTTAATGAAATCAAATATATTATGGAGAGCTTTAAATATAAGCTTATTTAGTGTCTCACAGCAACTCAGACTCCTCCGTTTTTCAAGTACAGATTTTATTTAAATCATCCTAGCAGATAATGGATTATCTGATTTCTAAAATCCTCTAGAGATGATTTTTCAGCACTCTTTCCTAAAATTCCTTCTGCCACCAATGAAAATAACTTGCTTCTCTATGAGATTTAAGTTCCTTGAAAGCAAGGAAGTTTGTTTACTGATATTGGAGATTGTCATAGTTATCTCTTTGATCCACTTGCATCAGAATCATCTATCCTTGTGTGCCTATTTAAAAATGCAAAGATTTGGGCCTTAATTCAGTCCTCTGAATCAGAATCTCTGGGTTTGGGGCTTAAGAATCTGCATTTTAAATAAGCTGACCAGTTGATTCTAACGTACAATGAAGTTTGAGAACCAACCTCTTTCAAGTTTTAGCAGAAAACTGAACACATGAGCAGTGGTCATTAACCTTGGATGAACAATGGAATCACCTAGAAAACTTTAAAGAAACACTGATGTCTGGGTCCCACTCCCAAAGATTTTTATTTAATTGGCCTGGGGTACAGAGTCTGGGCATTGAGAACCACTGACTAGGTGCTTTAATAAATACTTATCTCATTGTACTTGTTATCCACTTTGTGTGGAAAGAGAAGTGGCCGGAGGTTACTCTTACATACTCATAAACAGAGTCATGAGCACTGGCAAAAGGCATGGCTAACTGGTCAGCGTGTGGAGGAAAGAAGATTGGAAGGTCAGGGATGAGAAGGTCTGGGGTAGGATGGCCATATGGGAGTGGGTAGAAAGTGGGTATGAAGACTGCATATTAACACCCATCGGAGAACATCTACCATAGAAGAGGCCCTAAACAATCAGGAGACAAAATGACTCAGCTGGTTGACTTCAGTCAGCCTCCATCATCAGCCTCTAGTGCTGATATAATAGACATATAAACAGAGTAGCCACAGTGGCAGGGTGGAGGCTCTGCAAGGGCCTAAAAGCATGGGTTCTCTGTGGGGTCAGCTGAAGCACTAGTTGAAACTGCATCACAGCACAACTTCTCCCTCTGTCCAACCTTGCCTATGCCCTTTCCCTTCCACAGGTATTGATCCCAAGAACACCTCCTAAAAAACTTCCTGCATGATAATCTCCTTCTCAGAGTCTATTTCCCAGGGAACTCAACCTCCAACAACTGACAATGCCAAGTGTTGATGACGATGTGGAACAATTGTAATTCTCATACACTGCCGTGGGAGTGTAACTTGGTACAAATATTTTAGAAAACTGAAAGAATCTACCAAAACTGAACATAAGCATACCTTATCATCCAGTAATGCTACTCCTAGGTATATACAGAAGAGAAATGCAGACATACGTACAGCAAAAGACTAGCATAAGAATGATCATAGCAGCACTATTTGCAATAGCCAAAAATTGGAAACACCCAAATATCCACCAATAGAATGGTTAAAAACCTATGGAATCTTCATAAAATGAAATACTCTAGAGTCATGAGAACGAACTACTGCTATACGTGACATGGATGAATCGTATAAGCACAATGTTGAATAAAGTAAGCCAGACACCAAACAATATGCTACCATTTATATATGTAGAGTTTGTAATATAATTCTCTATACATAAAGTTCAACAACAGGCAAAACTAGTTGAAGGTGATAGTGGTTAACTTTGGGGGTAGGGTAGTGATGAGTTTCAGAACACACTACCCCACAATGTGGCACCTTGGCATACTGAACATTTTAAGCTGAAGGAATTTCAGAAAACAGCAGAGCAAGAAGGTCACTCTGACCTTCTGCCCACTACTCCCCCACCCCTACCCTTCTCCTCTGAAACAGGTCATAACATTCTCATGTGAGAGATATCCTCCCTATACCTGGAGGAATGGAGCATCCTTATCTTGGAAGACAAAGGAATGCCAAGAAAAATCCTAACAAACAGGCCTTGCTAATTTTCCCCCAATTTACTACAATTACCTTATAATTCTTAACCTATCATATTCCTCTATGACTGTCCACTCTTCATCAACCCTAACAAAAATACACAAGTCTATTTCTCTGGGTCTTCATTTCCTTATGAAGGCTCCCATGTCTTGTAAAACTTACATATGAAATAAATTTGTATGCTTTTCTCCTGTTAATCTGTCTTTGTCAGTTGAATTTTCAGACCCAGCCAGGGACCCTAAGAGTGTCAAGGAAAACTTTCTCCTCCCCTACAGTAGTAATCCGGAGAGGACAAAAAGGGGGCTTCTGGAGTACCTGCATCGATAATGTTCTATTTCTTGATGTGAGATGTAGTAACATGAGTGTTTTCATTTTGTGAAAGTTAACTGAGCCATGAATTTTAACTTATATATGTTATACATCAATAAAAAGTCCTTACTTGTTAGAGAAACATACCGAAGTATTCATGAGTGAAATACTATGATATATGAGACTTTTTAAAAAAAAACTTGAGATAATTAGGTATGGGATAGATGAAACAAAAATATAGAATGTTAGTAATCTTTTAATATTTAACATAACTTCATGTGATAGATACATGAAAGTTCATTACTCTATTCTCTCTATTTTGTGTCTTTGAATGCTTTTATAATAAAAAGTGAAAAAATCATGGATGAAATTTTAATCTTAGACTGGAGAAGGACATAAAACCCAAAAGTCATAAATGAAAAAAGTTGATAATGGCTTCAGCATCCATTCCAGCCCTCTTCCTCCTCGCCTTCCACTGTAAAGGCTGTAAAGTAAAATGTTGGCATTGCCAGCCCCCGGCACTAAGTCTATGTGACCCACTGCTGGTTCCTGAGGTACAGGCAGAAATCATACATTATACCTACATACATAAGCAACACAAATCAAAATAACACCGAAGTGTAATTCTCTTTTTCACCCATTAGATTGATAAAGATCAAAACGTTTGTTAATACTAAGTATTGTTGACAACTTGAGGACACAGTTGTTCTACACTATTGGTGGAAATATAAATTCATATAAAATCTTTTGGAAGGGTAATTTGGAAATATCTATCACAATTCTCCTGAAAGCAAAAGCAACATTTGAGTGTTAAGAGAGGGAACAGAAAGGAGGCAATAGGTATGAGTCTACATAGAGTCAAAGTTGATTCATTAGATGCCTGACTAAATATGGAAGAAAGGGTCCAAAATTACTGGGGACATTAATAGAAACAGGGAAGTCAGGAAGAGGCACTTGTTTGGGCAAGCAGATAAATAATTCAGTTTGGGATATGTTATGTTTTCTGGTACTTCACAGTGAGGGTAATTTTTGTAGTTCCTCTAGATCTAGAGTCTGGATGTTAACATATATGCTATTATATAGAAGATTAATAATTTTATCAAGTATTAATCCAGGAACTCAACAGGAGGGAAACTGAGAGAATGCCATTTAGCCTCAACTATAAGTAGGACCCACTTAAAGAAAATGTACTTCAAATAATAGTTAGAAACTTTTTTTTCCCCCATCCAACTGGCAAAGACTTAAAAACATAACCTAGGTTGGTGAAGATGCAGGGAAATGGATACTTGTCCTATACGCTGGTGGCAGTAAAAGTGATAACAACTTCTGGAAGACAATTTTACAGTATCTAGCAAAAACCTAAAAAATGTTAGGCCTTTTGAGCCATCAGTTCCAATTCTATCTGAAGAGTGTACGCAAATATTTTTTATTTAATTTTTGTGTTTTTTCCCATCAAAGTAATATATGCACATGGTACTAAAAAAATAAATTATTCTAAAAGACTTACATGGGGATACAGTGGAACCTCTGCTCCATCTCTTACCCATACTGCTCTTGAGAGGCCGCCACTTGCAACTGCTAGCTGTTTTATCTATTATTTACCTCTTTGTGTTTAAATAATTTACTCATTCAGCCACTTCGTGATTTATCAACTTAAGACATTGTGTATTGACATCTTGTTATGATAGTTGAGAATTTAGCTTTTTTACTCAACCTCCACCTCCACTTCCCTTCCCCACCTCCTCCCACTGTAGCTTTCTCATAATCTTTAAATGTCACATGGTAGGACGTTTTGGCAAAAATGTCATAAGGCAAAAATATTTTGATTAATTAGGTAGTCAGTATTTACATAATTATGACTACGTAAAGATTTTCAAATGTCAAATGGCTAGCAACATTTTTTTCCAAACCTCCAAGCACAAAACCATCAAACAATCTATCGGTTTCATTTTTTTCTCAAAAAAAAAAAGAAAAAAATCCCTCTGTTCTCTTGATCTAAGCAAGACTGACTGCGCCCTAGGCTTGGGGCATGGTTGTCACCCTAGGACTTCCTCTCATTGTCCTCTAGGTTAGCTCTCTCATTTCTTGACTGTCTTCTTCTTTCTTGGTTGACTCTCTTATATCTCTGAAATAATAATTTCCTAAGAAAGGGTACATAAGACGGAAATTTTTGAGACCTTAAATCTCTGAAAATGTCTTTATTCTATCCTTACAGTGTATTGGTGGTTGGATACAAAATTCTTAGCTAAACATAATTTCACTTCAGAATACTGAAGATAATATTCCATTGAGTGATGCTGTTGAGAAGCCTGAAGTTATTGTCTCCCCTTAGTTTTGATACAATCATTTTTTTCCCTCTGTGGAAGCTTTTATTCTCAGTGCTCTGATATTTCATCACCATGTCCTGCTTTGGCCTTTTCTCATTCATTGGGCTGGATATTTTGACCTGGAGATTCGTGTTCTTTGGATCAGATAAATTTTCTTGGATTTCATTTACAATTTTTCCTCCTTCATGTTTGTTCTGTACTCTCTGGAACTCTAACTAGCCGAACAATGGAATTTCTGTTTGATTTTTTTAAGTCTCACTTTTTTTCTCCCATTTTCCGTCTCTTTGTCGTCTTGTTTGACGTTCTAGGAGGTGTCGTCAATGTTCCCCTCCTGATCTTCTTTTGGACTTTGTATTTCAATGGTCATATTTTTAATTTTCAAATGCTTTTTAAAAAAAGGTTTTTTTCTTCATCCTGTGTCATCTTTGTTTTCTGTGAGTTCCTTTTTTGTTCGTTTGTTACCTCTGATGTTGTGGGCTTTTTTTAATTGTCTAGTGACTCTTGAGTCTCTGTTCTTTTTTTTAAGTGAGAAAATCAACTAAAAATGTAAATTGGAAGCCCTTACTGGGGTGAGGGGGACAGGTCAAATGGTGGCCTTCTCTAAGGGTGATCAGTTGATACGCTAGCCTTTTTATCGGCAGATTACCAAATGCCAGCATATGAAAATATTTTTTTTTCTGAGGCTATTTAGTTTCTCCATTGAAGAATTCTCCATTCTCCTATCTTTAGCATTTTGTGAGCAGGGTGTAGAAATGGACCTGAGTAACATCTGATTTATTACTACTTATTGACCTTGTTTGTATCTTTAGGCTGGTGCAACCAAGGAAATTCAAGTTACATATCTGTAACATTGGACCCTGTGCACAGCAGAATGGAACACTGCCTGGTCTTTTTGCGCCATCCTCTCACCTTCCAGCGCTCTATCAGACACTGTTCTGCTGCATTCATAGGGTTTTCATAGCCAATTTTTTCAGAGGTTGGTGGCCAGGTTCTTCTTTCTAGTCTGTCTTAGTCTGGAAGCTTCACTGAAACCTGTCCACCATGGGTGACCCTGCTGGTATTTGAAATACCAACCACATGGCTTTTCAGCATCACAGCAACATGTAGTCACCACTGTATGACAACTGACAGACGGGCGGTGTGGTTTCCTGACTGGGAAAGAATCCTGGCAGGTGTGACAGTGAGGGCACCTAATCTTAACCAGTAGACCAGCAGGGCTGGTTGTAACACGTTGATCCACATAAAAAAATAGGCTGGAAGTACATATACCAAAATTTTTAAATAGTTCTCTTAGTGTGGATTCATGGGTGATTTTAATTTTCTTCCTTTTCTACAAAATTAGTTATGTGATTTTTAAAATTATTTAAGTAAAGCAAACCATAAGAAACAAACAATCTAACTTTTTTAAATAGACAAAAGATTTCAACAGGTATTTCACCAAAGAAGATATACGGATAGCAAATAAGTACATTGAAAGATGCACAACATCTTTGGTCATTAGGGAAATACAAATACAAATTAAAACCACAATGAGATGCCAATACACACTCACTAGAATGGCTTTTAAAAACAAAACTTATAGGGGCTGGCCCAGTGGCGTAGTGGTTAAGTTTGTGTGCTCCACTTTGGCATCTGGGATTCTTGAGTTCGGATCCCTGGCGTGGACCTACACACCACTCATCAAGCCATGCTGTGGTGGCGTCCCACATACAAAATAGAGGAAGATTGGCAATAGATGTTAGCACAGGGCCAATCATCCTCACCAAAAAAACAAAACAAAACAAAACAAAAAACTTATAATACCAGCTGGTTGGGATGCAGAGCAATTCTCATATATTGTTCATGGGGATGCAAAATGCTGCAGCAACTTTGAAAAACAGTTTGGCAGTTTTTATGAAGTTACATTCTTACCACACAACCAAGTAATCCCACTCCTAGGTATTTACCCAAGAGAAATGAAAGTATATATTCACACAAAAATTTGTATGTGAATATTTATAACAGATTTATTTAGAATAGCCCAAACCTGGAAACAATCCAAATATTCTTCAACTATAATATCTCTATACCATGGAATACAACTCAGCAATTAAAAGAAATGAACTATTGATACATCAACAATATGGATGAATCTCAAATGCATTATACTAAGTGAAAGATGCCAGACTCAAAAGCCTATATATTATCTGATTCCACTCATATGACATTCTGGAAAAGGCAAAACCATAGGGACAGAAAATAGATCAATGGTTGCCAGGGGTTTGTGGTGAGGGGATGGGCTAACAAAGGGACAGCATAAGAGAATTTTCTGAGTGATGGCACTGTTCTGTCTCTTAATTATGTGACTTTATGCATTTGTCAAAACCTATAGAGCTATGCACCAAAAAGAGTGACTTTTATTGTATGTAAATAAATTTTTTTAAAAAAAATCTAACTATCTCTGTGTGTTAAAATCACAAAAAAATACTTAAATTAGGAGGAGCTAAGTATTTCAAAATGTTCCTATACATGGTTTCTCTAAATAGAAAGTCCCCTCTGGCATCAAAATATAATTAAATTTATAAAATTAATTCATATATAGATTCTGGAACATATCTGTTGTATACTATCTGAAAATTGGCAATGCTTAGCCCATGAAGTCATAAGAACTGCATCTTTAGCCTTTGAAGAAATGACACATTAGTCAAAGAAAATCTCGATAAAACAAAGTTACGTCAATGCAACATCTCTGCTATTCCATTCATTAAATACATACTATGATTATTTACATCTTTTCTTTTTTTTGAGTCTTTTTTTTTTCTTCCTGAGGAAGATTCGCCCTGAGCTAACATCTGTGCCAGTCTTCCTCTATTTTGCATGTGGGTCGCCACCACAGCATGGCCACCGACAGTGGTGTAGGTCCATGCCCGGAAACCAAACCTGGGCTGTCCAAGTGGAGAGCGCCAAACTTAACCACTAGGCCATGGGGCCAGTCTCCATGATTATTTACAAATATTTGTTGGTTGCTTACTATATATAAAAAAGAAATGATAATGTAGAGAATATAGAAATAAATCATGAATCTTATGCTTAAGGTCGAGTAGGGGAAATGAGCCACATAATATACATCAAGGCAGAAAATGACTAGTGACCCACAAGAGGTATGGAGGAGGGATAAAGAGTGGAGGCTTGCTTTTTGTTAGTAGTGAGGTCAGAGATCACTTCTTGGATTAAACTCTATTTTAAAAAGGCTCTTTGATGAAGAGAGAGAATTTTGATGTGCAGAGTTGGGGGTGGGGAGGGTCGGAAGGGGCTCAGGCAAGGTAATCCAGGAAACGGAGAAAAACAAAACAAAAAGAAAGAGAAATTTTAAAAAAAATAAATAATGGGGAAGTAGCTATGAAGACACCAGCTATCATCATCATCATCATCATCTGAACAGATCTGACATATTGACCACTTTGCTCAACATGCTAATTTGCTTCCAGCCTTACTTATTATAATAGCTATCTGTTGTGTTCTTACAGCACAATCTTCATTTTAGCCCACCAGTTCTTGGGTTCTAATCACCTGAAACTTGATTTTGTTGAGTTTGTCATTAAATGCTAAAATGTGTGATTACTCAGTTAAAAGTATATATCGTTTCAGCATTTTTCTCCACGCCCTCCTTTGCTATTGTGAAGAGTACTTCTTTACATATGCCACATAAAATCATACTTACTTCTCCGGCATTTCCATTAATATTAAACTTTATTTTAAATGCTCTTGTTCCTGTATTGTTCAACTAGATTAAAAGGAGGAACAGATCAATTTTCATGTGCCCTCTGTAATTGCAATTTTCAGTACCGCAATCATGTCCCTTTATACTCTTTTCTCTTTTGCAGGCTAGATAATCACTTTGAGTCAGTTGCTGCAGTGAAACTTGAAACCTGGTCATTGAAGAAGCCTGCAATTTAGCAGAAAACAAGGCACACCAGGATCTTCTGCTCCAGCTGCACATTGAGGATTCTGGTCTCTTTTTGAGTATGCCCTTACATTTCTAATTAGTTTAGTTGCTATAATTCTTTCCTTAAACAAGTTTGCAAAGTTGTTGTTTTTTAAGTGGCTCACTGTAGTCTTACAATATAACACTGCTTAACCACAATTTGTGGGAAATGACATATGCCAGTTAAATGAATTTTCTGGTTAAACCCTCTAATCTTTCTATCTCGTTGCATGATTTGGAATTTTGGGTTGCTTCCTTTCTGGAAATAATGCCGTTACTGGGAAGAAGACATATGCTGCTAGTTGCTGATTTGAACACACCTCTGATAATATTCTGTTCTGTTGTCATTTGTCCCTTTCTAATAAGGGCAAATCCTCTCTCCCTCTCTTTCACTCTCTCTCCC